AGCTTGCTATTAGTCAACAACGTGGTAATTTGTATTTTGAGAATCTTTGTCTAACGTAAAGTGGAAGAAAATTATTATATAATTATTTAAATTGTTTTAAGTTAAAAGACGCAAATTATTTTATAAACGAAATAAAAAAACGCTATCGAAGAACTGAGAATGTCAAATATCAATAGTCTGAAAATATCGAAACACGTTTGAATGCTGGACTGAACAGAAAAGTTAAAGTGCGATTATGAGAATGCTCTCCCAGTATCATCAGACAATCAAACTGGTTTTTATATTTTTAATCTAACTTGTAGCGTTTTTGTTTCTTCATTATATAAAAGTTAATTTTTTAAAGTATTAAAAGCAATTCAAATAAATTTTTTATTTAAACTAATATCAACAGCTAAATAAACAACTAATAACTTGATTAGTAATTAATTATAAATATTAGCAGCTAATTAATAGATTTACATTAAACCTTAGACACAAAACTTTTATTAAACACATTTTTTGTACTTTTTTTCTCATTATTTTGCATTAATTTAGGTCAAAATAAGTGAAAAATATGATGTCTTGCATTTTAATAATTTATGGTTATGAAATATGGCATCAAAAATCGGTATCTTTTTCTGCGTTAAAGGTAAAATCTTCCGAATACGGCTCACTTCCAAACAATAATTTTTTTAAATCTGCATTTATTTTATTTAGATATAAGAGAAGCAGCAATTCTTCATTAAAATTTCCTTAATTTAAAAAATCAATTATTGTTAAATTTTTGAATATGAATGAATTTTTCGATTTTACATTTTTATCCAAATATAATTCCGATAATATAACAGTTTTTTTAGGAACTATTAGACAGTAGTTTATATTTAGAAAATACTGAAATATATTTTAATGTAGCATCAGAAAAAAATATAAAATTGTCACTGGCGTCTCTTTTACTCTAAAGGGTTCAAACACTCAGTAATCTGCGAGTTGAAGAATGTACGTTAGTATGTACAAAAATCAATAGTTTAGATGCCAGTGAAGTATTTTTTTAAACAGTTGAAAAGTTAAAAATGTAAAAAGAATATTTTTGTGACAACCAGTATCAGTATAATTAAGCCTTCTCAGTTTGTGATTCCAATATTCACGGTAAAAAATGAAGACCATATTTATATAATCAATCTTTATTATAACTTTTGTACAATAATAGTGACAGAATCAATTCTCGTGTTTAATGTACAGTTTCAGCAGCTTTAGAGAAAACTGCTGATTTGGAACTTACAAGATGTGATAGTAATTAAAACATAAAGTTCTTTGTATAATTTTGCTCATTTACCCAAACATGCTTTTTTTTCTTTTTAAGTTTAGCAATTTTTATTGCACTTTGTCATACTATTCACTGATAAAAACGAACGCAAATTAGTTCCATTTTTATCTAACAGGAATTAAATCAAATAATATAAAATAAGTCGAAATAGTTAAAAATTTAAATGGAATATTTTTGAAACAACCAATATCAGTATAATTAAGTCTTATTAGTTTTTGAGTCCATGATTCATGGTAAAAAATGAAGACCATATTTATATAATCAATCTTTATTATAGCTTTTGTACAATAATAGTGGCAGAATCAGTTCGCGTGTTTAATGTACAGTTTCAACAGCTTTAGAGAAAACTGCTGATTTGGAACTTACAAGATGTAATAGTAATTGAAACACAAAGTTCTTTGTATAATCTTGTTCATACATGCTTTTTTTCTTTTTGGGTTTAACAATTTTTATTGCACTTTGCCACACAATTCACTGATAAAAATGAAAGCAAATTAGTCCCATTTTTATCTAACAGGAATTAAATCAAATAATATAAGTCGAAATAGTTAAAAATTTAAAAAGAATATTTTTGCAATAACCAATATCAGTATAATTAAGCCTTATTAGTTTGTGATTCCATGATTCATGGTAAAAAATGAAGACCATAATTATATAATCAATCTTTATTATAGCTGTTGTACAATAATAGTGGCAGAATCAGTTCGCGTGTTTAATGTACAGTTTCAGCAGCTTTAGAGAAAACTGCTGATTTGGAACTTACTCAAGATGTAATGGTAATTGATGTAATAGTTCTTCGTATATTCTCGTTCATTTAGTGAGTCAACCATGCTTTTTTTTTTCTTTTTGTGTTTAACAATTTTTATTGCACTTTGCCACATTATTCACTGATAAAAATAAATGCAAATTAGTTTCATTTTTATCTAACAGGAATTTAATCAGGTAATGCAACTGGGTATTTTAAATTTTTAATCTTATACACTAAGTGTGTATTGAAAAGATTTTCAAGAAAAAATATTTCAGGAATGAATATTTTAATTTTTTATTTACTTAACCAAATTGCTAGAAAAAGTTTTCGCAATTAAATATAATATATTCAGCATTTGTTTAAATAATAAGTAATAAAAAAAAATACATCTTCAATTTCTAGAAAATATTTCGCGTACAACCAAACAATTTCTTCTGCTGCGATATTAAGATAAGGGTGAATAGAAACGCATGGTGCACATAAAAAAAAATAAGGTCAAAACTACCAGAATATGGTAAAATGTACCGTGTTTCTGGCCCTATGGGAACACCAAAAACACCAGTAATTTTTTCCGAAGCATTTTGGTAATGATTTTGGTAAAATTAAAAATACAATATGGTTTTAAAACATGTGATAAAATTTGGTAAATGCGGAAAATTTGGTAATTTTATCATGATACTTTAAAGCATGGCATAAAAACCATTTATTCGGTTAAATTAACTTTTAAATTTTATAATAATGTGTGGTAATAGGAGGTATAAATTAGAAAACCGAAATTCCCGATAAACCGTTATTATTAGAATAAAAAAACACAGTACATTTTGTTTTTATTAACCAGAATCATACTGTTTTTTTTAACCAGAAATGTCATTACCATACAGTACAGCAATTTCACAGATTTCTTTCCATTTAAGTATAATTCTTTGAAATCAATTTGTGAAATGAAAATAACAAAAAATATACCCAGCAAAATATTGCTGATCAGAATAACAATTAAAATGTGATTTAAATTTGTAATTAAAGTAGCTCTATCTGAGTTTTTTAAATTTGATACGGATAATTTAAATGAATTATTTGAAGTACTTTTTGCATTAAGACATTAATGATTGTAATTAGTTTTAAGGAAGTTTAATATTTCATAGAAAATCAGTTTTTAAAAATTTGATTTTCTTATAATTGTGTACTAATACAATATTTTTAATAAGAAATAAGATAACGAAAAAATTGCTTTAACCAGTTAAGCAATACTTTTTAGGATAGCTGGGTTTAATTAACTGAAAATAAGCCAAAGCCATTAATAAATCAAGCAATTTTAAATAAATAAATTTATTATCTTTCTCGATCATCTGATATATATTGTCCTAACTGTGAATATTTTATTTTAAACTACTGAGGTCTACCTCACCGCATTTCTCTCACCAATCTTCCCGATTTCAGCAATAATTTTTATTTTTAATTTTTTTAAATTTCATTTATTTATTTATTTATTTTTTTGAAACATCTAAATAAAAATGTGGTGCAATTGAAAGATCACATAATATTTTAATTACACAGTAAAAAATTTTGGTTCAAATAACGGTAAAAATTTCCGGCACTCAGGGTACCGGCACTTTTTACCGTAGTAAGCATTTTTACCGGAACATGTATCAGAACAAAAATATGATATACTCCAATTTTAACTGTAATAATTACCGTAAAACGCCTGAATCACCTTAATTAAATAAATATTACTATAAAAATTGTGGTAAAATATTTTACGGTAAAAATGGATTTCAGGATAAAATAGATTTTTAGGATGATGCACTCAAAGTGCCGGTACTTAATGCAGTAATTTGTTTCAGAATGTTTTACATATTTGTTTTTGCAATTTTGGTCAATGATTCGATTGGGATAAAATTTAAACCTAATAATTTTGTGTGGTTACTATTGCAACTTCATTCACAAATTTGTTTTTAAAACCCTTATTTAACTTTTGGTTGTTATAAAAATTTCTTTATTAGTTATTGGCCAAAGAAATTTAGTAATTGTCCATAAAGGGTAACTCATTTTTATTATGTAATGTAGTTTTAATTTCATATGCTAACGGAACACAGTTTTACACAAACCTTATTATCAAAGTAACCTATTTACTGTTTGGTAATTATAAGAACGGTTAGACCATTTATGATACCGATTTATAAATATGCTTATCAAAAAATTTTGCATAATGAGGTAATAAGATGGGATTATTTTATAATGTAGAAACATCGCTTTCAGTTTTAAGTTACAGTTTGAAATAATAATCTAAATCAGAAACGTAGTAATAATAGAGGATATGCTGAAAGGATGATAAATAAATAATACATGTAAATATCGTGAAATTAGGGATGAAGTAATATTTTGTAGATAAATAATATCTTTATAACTTTTATTAATTTTATGCTAAAGAAATCTGAATCATCGTAGAAGAAAACTGCATCATATCATGAGATTTTCTGTTCAATTAAGAACAATACATTAACAACGATGATAAGTGGTTTCATGCTATTACGTTTTAATATTATATATAGACAAGAGTACTTATATTTAATAATGAATTGAGTTTTACTACTTGTTTTTAATTGTTTTATAAGAAGATTTAATCTCTCACATTAAAACGTTTACCATAATTTTGAATTTATTAGTTATTGTTTGTAATGACAGGCAAAAATTGTCCTAGATTTTGGTAACGAAAAAAACTACTTAATTAAAGTCAAATTTTCTATGATAAAACATATTTTCTCTTAAATTTATTACATGTTTTTAGTTCAAAAATACTTCTGCTAATATTTTTTAAACTCATAACATGCTTTTAACCCAAAAGTACTTATGGTAATATTATTTTAAACTTATAACATGTTTTAAACACAAAAATACTTATGATAATATTTTTTAAAGCTCATAACATGTTTTTAACACAAAACTTCCTATGGCAATATTTTTTTAAAACTCACGACATGTTTTTAACACAAAAATACTTATGGTATTACTTTTTTTAACTCATTACAAGTTTGTAACGCAAAAATACTTATGGTAGAATTTTTTCTACCGTTTTAAAAACTATATTCTCATCACATTCACTCACTCAAAATTTAGACATTAGTTGTTCCTGCATTAAGTCACAGATATAATCGTTAATAAATTTGAATTTCATAAAGAAATATTCAAAATAAATATTTCATCTCCTTGTGACAATTTTCTATGCTTTTGATTAGAATCAAATTAAATAACAAGAACTATCTTGCACAGATGCAGAATGTTCCGCAATAACCACCCCTAATATATAGATTTAGAATCCCCGTAAAAAGTTTATTGAAAAAAAGTATGCATATAAGAGGATCACAGAAATAATGTAGTGAAGGAAAAAATCAAAAAACGTCGCCATCGAAATCTGTCAAAATAACTAGTTGGAAAAGCGGGAGGTGAGCATCAAAACCTGTTTGATTGCCAGATAAAACGGAAAAAAAGTTTGAATGTTAGAAACGGCTTAGTGTCTTCTAAAATTCACATTTAAACTTCTTCCTGTTTTATCTGGCAATCAAACAGGTTTTGATACTTTCATCTCCGCTTTTCTCAGAAAGCATTTGTTAAAATTTCAAAAGCGGTTTTATTTTTTCATCACTCAAAACTTTGCCACCACTAATGTGTGTACTATTTTTGACTTTCTTTTTGATGAGGATTCTAAAAATATACATTATTCGGTGTCGTTACGAGTAATAAAAAAATAAGTTTAGAAACAAATTTTGAAATATTGCAATAAGCTATTTTTCACAAACTCCTCAAATTTATTCCACGAACATGACTCGGCTCGTTAGCCGCAGATTGCCAACTCCAACAGAGTGCATAAAAAATAACTTTAACTTCGATTTCTGAAGTTCAAAACAAAAAACAAAAATTGAAAGTCATAGTAGTGCTCTAATATTTCAATCCTTTTTGACTCCACAATCAGTTCAAGTCAAAAATTTACTCTGAAAATGAATATTAATTCTTGACGTTCGATAATAGTTTTTTTTTCCCTTCTTCCTCCAAGTTACGGGTAAAGTTAAAAACAAAATTCACAGTTAGAACAATTCCTGGAATGATGTCAAAGGCAAAGGTTCACCACTGGGGGAGACGTGTCTTGGGACTAGTGACGTCAGACCGGAGTTGCCCTCGTATTCCATAACACCCGGCTGGGCGGCAGGGGGCGGAAGTGAAGAGGCGTGAGAGAGTTCTGCGCCCATGCCCGATCCGCCCCCGCACGGGCTGGGCTCTGAGAAGGAACTTGTGGCGCCGGGGCTGTTCGGATGCGTAGATTGCGAGGAGGGCTGAGGATTTTGAGAGTTCTGGCCGCCTTGCTGGAGGTCCACCTGCCTCAGATTATTTCGGCGCCATTTGGCACGGGCGTTCTGAAACCACACCTGAAACAATCACAGTTATTTAAATAAATAAAACTCAGTTTTTTGCATGCAAAATAAATACAAGGTATTTCCTAACCACCTCCCTTAATATAAATTTTTGAAATCTTATTCGAAAATTGATTAAAATAATACACACGCTGAGGTTACTAATTTATATTTAGGCGAACCAAAAACGTTACCGAAGTCCGACTAATCATTAAGGCATAATTGGAATTAAAAACATCAAAACCTGCTCGATTGCACGAGAAACTGAGAGGAGATTAAAGACAATAATTAGACAGTAAGAGCCTGAAGTTTAATTTTGAAATCAATATTTTTTATCCCATGTTAACGATTCATCAGATTTTAAAAATCTCTTTTTCTTTTTGTTTAAATATCAATTTGCAACCCAAATCTAGCAATTTATCTAATTTTCGACAACGACTGCTAAACAATATATTAAGAGTACAGAAAAACATTTTTTATATATCTAGCAATTTATAGGAAACATACAAAAAACAATGGTAAGGATGCAATTAAAACACGTTACACAAAAACAATGCTTTTTTTTTTCTATCAAATTTTTTCTCAATAGCGTTTTTCAAATTGTATCGATAGAAAATGCTTATAATTTTATTATTAAAGAAAATTTTTTAAGCATTTATTTCTCGAAATCAAAAGTCATGTAACAAAAACGCATTTACGAATCTATGAGAAACAAGAGCTCATACTACATCTTTCTAGGTTTTCATTAAAAAATCACTTAAATGCTCTCGAAAAAAATACTTTTTTTTTAAAGAGTTTTTTCAATTTTTAAGCCTTTTGCGTTGTCGATTAAGTTGAACAATTAAGTTGTTATGCAACAAAAATTATTTCTTCATCTCACTATAAAATATAAAAGAAGCCTTAGAAACTTGAAATTATGAAGTACAGAAAGTAAGATAGAACAGGGCTGTCCAACTAGCGGCCTGCCAACACATATTGTGCGGCCCACCAACTTCTTATTCAGGTTGATCGGCCTCTGTTTTCCCATTAAAATGTAAGCAAATTTTTTTATAAACCTTCTGTTCCATTGTTTTATAATCAATAATTCAACTATTAATTGTTATTGTATAAGAGGTTATTGTCCAACTTTTTCACACTGCGGCTCTGGCCCGTGGGATCTTTGCAGTTGGACAGCCCTGAGATAGAATAAAAAAAATTATTTTAAGAATTATAAATTGCTGAACTTGCAATCGATCTACAGACCACATAAGTGTAACTATATCATTGTAATTTTTCGTGCCAAATTGATTTCTGATTGAAATTCGAGAGCCAATCTTATTTACAAGCAACATCAGTTTTTGCTTCAAAATTCCACTTTGTTGAAAAGTTATTGCAATTTTAAGTGCTTTTTTTTCACGAATCTTTTCTCCCTCGCTTTTCTTTAAATAATGCCTATTTAGCCATTGTCACATACGAAGTTTCTTATGTCTCTCTTGAGAGCTTTCTTTTATATGCTTGCTATTGAATTGAAGTCAAAAATAAAGTAAAAAAATTAATAAATAAACGAGGAAGATTTTATTCCAAATATAAATTTTAGCATTTATAATGATTTTCTTAAATACATAAAACCTTACATAAATGCAAATACATAAAACCTATCATTAGAGATGAAAAAACATTTCCTATTTCAACTCTAATATTGATATAAAAGTCTCATTAGCGAGTAAAGTTAAAAGTTACGTCGTTAAAATTTTTTAGTTTAATTTTTCTCCCCCGTGCATTTAATTGTTTTTTCTTCAAGGACAGGTAATCCTTCATTTTGCTACGATTAAAACAAATAGGGGAGTCACTATGCGTGAGAGGCTTTCCGGCTACGACAAATCTTGAGAATGAACCTTGCTATAAACAAAAAAAAGCCATAGTTTAAGTGCCTTACACTTGAAGCAATGCAATGATTTTAAACTATATATATATTTTTGCCGAGAGGAATTATCTGGGTTTCAGAACAGACAAATAACTTCAATATTTTAAAAATCGCCAATTTAGCGACATTTTCCATCTAGATAACCATTAGCAAAACTACTGCCTTATTATCAGCTTTTGCAAATTTTTATGATCCCAAGTAATGCAGCATTAGTGTAAGTTTTTAAATATTAAAAAATTGGAGCACAAAAACTTTTCATTTTCACAAAACAGTAGCTTTAGTACTGACGTTTTGCGCCATTTTCAGAATAAGTGTAAGCAAGCTTTAGATAGGCTAAACTTGACCTAACAGTCATATTAGTAACTGTTACAAACTCACAGCAGTTATACAAATAGCATATTATTTGCAAAAAAGCGTAATTTCATATTACGACAGAGCCTTCAAGAAACAGTACACTACAAAAATATCTGTAAAAGTAGTTTTACCGTATGGTTACTTACCGTGTAACAAAAACACATTTACAGATTGAAAGGGGAGAAATGTTGCTATGTACTTCGGTTGTTTGCTACTCTTTTTTAATAAACTTTTTTAGTGCAAAACTTTTTTATTGTAAAACTATAAAACCCCTGAGCAAATGCAATGCGTCACCATCTAGATATCTGAATCATTAACCAAAAAATAATACATAAGTAAATTAACTAATTAATGAATCTAGTATATAAATTATGTTTGAATTGTAAGTTTTTAAAGGTTTTTTTCTCCCCTCAGAACTAGCTGCTCTCTCTTATTTCAGATAGTAAACGCTCCAAAGATATACTACAGAAATATAGAGTTATATCCTGAAGGGAATTTCTCAAATAGTGTCCTCTCCCTGTGAGAAAAACACATTTCATTAGTTTTAGCGTCGAATGCAGATTCTTTTGCGTTTTTAACAATTTCTCTTCATTTTAATGAAATAATTTTTTTAAACAATAAATAAAATATTTATTGTTTTAAAAAATAACTTCACTTAACTGAAATCAAAACGAGTTTTCTAAATATACGAAAATTTATTTTTCCAAATCAATATTCTTTAATTTTAATTTTTATAATCATCTTATGATAAAAGCTTATTCAAACTATAGATTTTGGTCTGCATAGTTTAGCGAGAGTTATTTTTGGCTCAACTTGCAACCATTTCAGTGTGTGAGGTTAAAAAAAAACTGCGAAAAGTACCAGAAATTACTTATGTCTCAACGAGGATTTTGATCCGCACAGATTAAAACGCTAATTGAAGTGTCAGAAGTTATTTATGACTCAACGAGGGTTTCGGTACGTGTACCCCTCCCCGCCCCCCAAAAAGTGAAGTCTGCGAGAAATTATCGCTGGATAAACGAATTTTACAATTGTGTGCAAAACTGTTTCAATACACTTAAAAAGCTTTCGAGATATGGGGAAATACGCAAAAAGTTAAGTAAACATTAAGGGTCCAAACTTTGGATCGTTCTCCTGGCCTAACTATGGGGATATTTCCCAGATTACGGTTACACCCTACCTTTTGTGTCTCATTTCGTAATTAAAAAATTGTCTGCACAAATTATTTAGAATATTTGTGGTCACCTCCTCGAAAAATAAAGAATGAGTGATCCGNATTTGGCGATAAAACAAATTTTTGTGTTCTTGAAAATGAAAGACTTTTTGAGGGTCTCACAAGGAAAAGTTAGGGTTTAAAGTTTATATTTTTAAATAATAAAATTTTTGTTCTAAAACTTTCAGAATTTCTATCATTAACTAATTTATTATACGCATTTAGTTGAATTTAGGTGAGTAACTGCAATATTTGATAATTTATTTTGCTAATATGTTTCTCATTTAGCTAATGTTTTGACTTTTTCACCATGTGCAATCTAAATAGCTAATATACTTTTTTAAAAGCCAATATGAACATTGATAGAATTCTTCTACATAAGTACAATACTATGTCTTTGATGATAAAATACTATGTCTCTGATGATAATATACTATGTCTTTGTGCTAGAACATTGTGCTCATTGGCGAGAGAGCGCAGCGAGCCATGGTTCACGGCGTGAACCACATAGGATTGCGTAGCAATTCTCGGGGGTTGGCGAGCGTTAGCGAGCAGGGGGCGGAGCCTCCTAGTAAAATATTTATTGTTTTAAAAAACAACTTCACTTAATTCGTACCTAAATCGAAACGAGTTTTTTTAAATATAAGAATTTTTTTTCCATATCAATATTCTTTAACTTTAATTTTTATAATCAAATAATGTAAAAAGTTTAGGCTTATTCAAACTCTAGATTTTTGTCTGCATAGTTTAGCGAGAGTTATTTTTGGCTCAACTTGCAACCATTTCAGTCTGTAAGGTTAAAAAAAAAACTGCGAAAAGTACCAGAAATTACTTATGTCTCAACGAGGATTTTGATCCGCACAGATTAAAACGCTAATTGAAGTGTCAGAAGTTATTTATGACTCAACGAGGATTTCGGTATGTACAGTGCGCCCCCCCCTCGCCCCCCAAAAAATGAAAAATTTCTTTTCTGAGAGAAATTATCGTTGGATAAACGAATTTTATAATTTTGTGCAAAACTGTTTCAATACACTTAAAAAGCTTTCGAGATATCGGGAAATACGCAAAAAGTTAAATAAACATTAAGGGTCCAAACTTTGGATCGTTCTGTGGGGGTATTCTAACTGTGGGGATATTTCCCAGATTACGGTTACACCCTACCTTTTGTGTCTCATTTCGTAATTAAAAAATTGTCTGCACAAATTATTTAGAATATTTGTGGTCACCTCCTCGAAAAATAAAGAATGAGTGATCCGATTATTAAATCAAAAGCTATTCAGAGTGGTCCATTTTTTTGGCGCACTAAACATATCTACAGTTTAAAATGCTACCGGATGTTATTCGTGACTTAACCAGAATTTCAGTCTGTACAGTTTAAAAAGATACGAGAAGTACCAGAATTTCTTTATGTGTCAATGAGGTTTTTAGTCTGTGCAGTTTAAAAAGCTACGAGAAGTATTAGAATTTATTCATGACGACTATACTTACTAGGAGAATGGTCCTCGTAAGTTGAGTTACAATACACTAATTAACAAGTAATTAAAAATAAATAATTAAAAATAATAAATTAATTAATAATTAATTGCGTCATAATGAATTAATTACTGTTAAAAAAAGTTATGAGAAATTCTGGAAGTTATTTATGACTCAACGAGGACTTTGGTCTGCACAGTTTAAGAAGCTACGAGAAGCAGCAGAATTTATTTATGACTCAACTTACGAGTAGTTTGGTCCTCGTAAGTTAAGTCATAATAAACTAATTAACAAGTAATTATTAATAAATAATAAACAATAATAAATTAATTAACAATTAATTGTGTCATAATAAATTAGTCACAGTTAAAGAAAGTTATGGGAAATTCTAGAAGCAATTTATGGCTCAACGAGGACTTTGGTCTGCACAGTTTAAGAACCTACGAGAAGTACAAGTATTTATTTATGACTCAATTTACGAGACTTTTGGTCTGCACAGTTTAAAAAGCTACTAGAAGAAGCAGAACTTATTTATGACTCAACTTACGAGGGTGTTGGTTTATAAAGCTACTGGGAGTTATTTGTGACTTAACCTAATTGGACATTAAAAAATAAATCAATTGAAATCTTGTAGTCTGAGAGTCTTTTTTTGGCATACCTGGAGCACCCTTTTGGAAAGCCCAGTCTTCTGGGCAAGTTGCTTCAGGTCTTTGGCATCGGGATTCTGATTGATAGCAAAGTAGGATTTCATCGTCCGCAACTGATGATGCTTGAAGGATGTCCGCATCCGCTTCGTCCGCTGAGAAGCACTGGATGGGTTCAGGCCAGTGGACGTCGCCGAATTGGAGTCCAGTGAGGACAAGTGGAGATTGCAACCTCCCTCACCACTCTCCATCACTGAAGGAAAAAGGAAACAAGTTTTGTAATATCCTCAGTTAAGGATTATGAACTTACAAGCAATGTAACAATCTTAATGTTGTGCTATACAATTAATAAACACACTGCAGCTACCATTGTTGGATTAATTTTCTTATCCTCAATTAGAATTTAAAGATTATGAACTTATAAACAATGTAACAATCTTAATGTTGTGCTATACAATTAATAAACACACTGCAGCTACCGTTGTTGGATTAGTTTTCTAATCCTCAATTAGAATTCAGGGATTATGAACTTATAAACAATGTAAC